AACATCATCAAAGTCTACGTGCATAAAGACTCGTACTGTAATAAAACTAGATTTCACTGTTCATTCAATTCAATAATTTTAGAATAATTTGTCGTAATACATTACATTTATTGTTATCAATATTTCTTTCATATTTTTTTAAATTGAAGTTGATATTAAATGCAATATTGCTCGTTGTGTGATCACTCTAGTGTTTAGCCTAATAATATGAGCATTGCAGGAACATTCTAACTTCATAGTCTTACTCGCCACGAAATTTTTTGTCACAAATATGGTAAGCCATTTAGTGGTCTGAAGGTATACCAAAATCTGACAAATTTTTATCCCAATTTGACATTTTAATGTGAAATTGTAAAAAATATATATATTTGAAGCTTCTTTATTGTTATAAAAAGTTTAACTCTTGAGACACGTTCTGAAATGTAAATCTGGCGTAATCAGCAAACAGATGTGTCACGTAACTTCTAAATCATTCTAAATTTCATAGATGTTACAAATGATAAATGTTCACGACAGGAATGATTGCGTGCTTTTCTAGTTCAAACCTTTCCGATAGAAAGGAATATCTTTTAAGTTGGGCTCTGCGACAAGATCATTTGGACACGTTCGTGGCCAGCTTATAGAAAAACGGGAATAACTGAATTGCAATTGAAAATTGAATTCTTTTCAATTACTCAGTTCAATGATAAAAAAGCACAAAACTCGCTCAAACATTCTAGCCACCTTAAGAATAACGTACTGTAGTGTAACATTGATGAAAAGAATACAAAGGAAGGTTATATGATGTTGGTTTAAAAAAATAATTTTAAAATTTCGGTGATAGCTCATCACTTTTGTGTATAAGGATACAATAATAAAATTTTGCAATATCTGATTCATCGACAAATAAAAAAAGTTAGCATGAAAACCACCGAACAATTTGTTATCAGTATTATTCCTTCCATATTCACGATTCCTTTAAAAAAAAAAAAAATTAAGCAACCATTGCCGTATATTATTGTACTAGGATATCGGGAAATGTAAAAAAATAAACAAATACTGAGGCAAGACGCAAGTACATTTGATTAACGCAAACGCAACGATCAATTGGACAAATCCTATAGCCTTGAGCAAACAACAAGAGAACACATAAATTTAATCAAGCATTCGCTGGATGACTCGTTGTTCCCCTGCTTCTCTCCTCTCTTTCATCGTTCATAAACATTCTCCACCATTTGGTACATCTATAATTCAACTCTCGCATCGACCCATTGTCGTTCTTATTCCGGGCAACGGCCTCTTTTCTCACGCTGTGTGACGGGCAAATCTATTATTTATTAAAATAAAAAGAACGCACGCACGCGCTCTTTTTAAAAGCCCTCAAGGCTCCCCATCTTATTTCTGCGACGTATACATACCCAGCCCCTACACCTACCACTGTGTATCCGTCAACACTACGTGTAAACATGGCGCATTTGTATATTTAACCTCATCTACCATTGGCGTGAATTGGATGCTAAGATGCTGATGTAAAAGATGTTTTAGAAGCGCATGTGAGAATATGATGGAATATCGGATTATTTGCGTTAAGAAAAGCTGATCTGCAAAATAATTCTTTGATGGTTTGCTGAATACATTTTTTTTTTCCAATCCGTACCAAATTTAGTAGATTATTTAAGAGCATTATTTTATAAACGAAAAAGTAGATCATTTAAAGAGTAACTGCAGGTATCGAGCTCACAGCATAGACACGTTTAATCCATCATTATGCATCCTGACAAAAGTGCGTCGAGCTTTCTTGGCCGAAATGCCACAATTAAAAATGAAAGTACTATCACGGAAAACGCAGTGGCGTACTCATTTGGAGCGAGCAAAGTAGCCCCCATTGCACAGCACTTCAAATCCAGCCGCACGTGCGCGCCTAATTCTCTTTCTCTCTGTCTTTCACTCCCCCCTCCCGCTTTATCAACGGTGGTACGCGATGCGCCTATAAGGTGAAGTACCGGCCGGCGGCGATATTGCATTAGCGCAGCGCGAAAATCGAGTTGGTCTGCGAAAGTGCGCGCGCGTGTGGCGCCGCTCTAATTTAATTTCAAAATAGCCGACGAAGGGTACCGGCCTAGATAGCTGCTGATAAGCTCTTCAACGAGCAGCAGTAACAGCAGGGTTCAAGCTACTTCAGTGGACCGGAATCAACAGAGCTCGAGACCCTAAAATCGTATACTATTGTTTTGTAAGATCGTCGAAAAAAAATGCTGTCGATTCATTGGCAGTCATCTTACTTGTAGATTATTTGCTTATTCTATTAAAATCTAATTTCTCAATCGCTTTATTCAGAAATATTTTAACATTTACGTATTTGACAAAGTTTTATGAAATTTCTCTGGCTTGGTACGATTTCATTGGACCCATACCATGCACACTTACTTTGGCTTAACAAAAATTCTATACTGAGTGTATGCAACACTAATAATTGTAAATGCAATTAGCTACCGTGAAATTGATTGTGTAGAACTTGGTTTCATTAATACTTTAGTTATCATGAAAACTCAACTTTTTTGTAATCTTGTTTTGTTCTATGCAATCTATAGCAAAGTAAAGTTAATTGATTAAAATTTTCGATACTATCCGAGTAATAAAAACCGCACAGTTAAATAGTTTTATACCCCTAACTCTAATCAACAGTTTTATCTGAAATATGCAGCACGAGAACTTTCGTATTTTTCATTTTCTTTTAACGATCATTTGCAAGAAAGATCATTTACGAGAATTGATCTTTCTTGCAGCTGCTTAGTTAGAAAATCTAAATTCTTAAATTTTTTATATACTTACTTCAAAAATAAATATTGTTAATTTAAGTACATTTCTTATTATTAAAGCTTAAGTTTATAAACATAATACACCGTTATTACTTAATGTAATGGATTTATAATCCTCAATTCCAGTACATCCGTTCGATTAAAAAGTTATTGCAGCAAATCATACCGTTTGTATGTCCAAGTGTCAATAATTGTAAGTTTTTGAAAGATATCGCGTTTTCCAGCTAATCGAATTGTAGATGCGAAACTGGAATTTGACGTCACACTACGATGCTAATGCATTATCTGTCGAAGGATGTCTATGTATGTCTGATTACGTGACGTTGCTAAATTTTATAGTACTACGTGACTCAAGTCCGCGCTTATGCAACGTATAACGGCATCTCGTTGGCGCTCGGGCTATAACTTCACAGTGCCGTTTTGAACTACTAAGTTACGGAAAGACGAGCCGTAAGTGCGGATTTGAGGGCAGTGCTATAAAATAATGAATGATATACGTGACGTAAGTAAGAATCGACAGCACGGCATTAACTACTCTTACTGTGTTCGGGCGTTAACTAGTCGTCGTATTAGGCCTTACTTACGGTACTAGTATTGTTATATACTAATCCCTAACTATAGGATATTGTTATTAATATTTAATTAAAAGATATGGTAACGCGATATAACAATTTGTAGAATTTTTTTGCAAATATTTTTCAATTCACCGTACAAAATATTCTAATAAGTATATTCGAAAATGTCATACTTTAACGATATTTTCAAGGCTGCTCATAAGAGCTCACGTTGAACATCACATTTGGATCGTCTTATTTCTCCGTCTTTTGCATGACAGAGTAAAATTAAAAATAAATTATCTATAATTACTATAAATTAACTAGTCAGGTAACGTCCTTAAGGCTCTGTTGGCGTTACCGAAGAAGTTTTTCCAGGGTTTTTCTCAAACAAATGAACTAGTCAACTTAAAACTTTTTCAGAACATCCATTGTACGTAAACAAAGAGCCGTAGAGCCGTCTTTTTGAAAATTGTGTTAAAAATCAAGAAAAAAAATAAAAAACTGCGACTAGTTTTAATTTTTTAATTAATTTCTAAACTAATTAGAAAAATACAACTCTTTATTGCTCTTGCTTTATTTACGACGGATGTTCTGGAAAAGTTTTAAGATGACTAGTTTATTTGGTTAAGAAACAACCTGGAAAAACGCTTTGAGAAAAACCGTTATACGTTAATAATTTGCAGTTTTCATGAAACATCGTAATCGTTCCACATTCTTTAAGTCTTAAGGTACCTAGGATATCCTTCAATTTTGTCAAAAATAAATATTGAGTGACAATAATAAAATCTACCATAAGCGTTTATTAGGGAGTCGTGTAATTTTTAATTATTGAAGCAAGTTTAATAGTGACTTTTATTTAGTTATTAGTGTCATTCCGCAATCATTATAATCTAAAGAATAATGTAAAACTTACGACATGCCGTAAAAACTGAAATTACTTTAATTTGATGGAATCTATAATATTTATAAATTATATTTTCCTAGAACATTATCTTAACGAAAGACAAAAAATCGAATTCTCACAAGCATAGTATTTAGACGTATTGTATAAAAATAAAATTATTTAAAAAATTCAGTAAAAATTTAGAAGAGAATGTCAATGTAGGAAACAATAGAGCTATTGGAATCTGACATCTAGACTGCTGCCACCTATCGTGACACTAAACAAAAATACACAAGCAAGTTCTTTAATACAAGTAGGTTACATAGACCAGAGTGTAGCTATAACAGTCCAATTTCTCCTTAATTTTATGTCGAGAATTTTCACTTTTCCGTACTCTCTATAGCAATATCCCTCTTTAATCTCTGTCTATAAGATCCAAGGTAGATAAAAATGAAGCCTGAATGGGTAGTGGGGTAGTCAACACTTTGACTTTACCTATAGAGCATGTACAAACAGACTAATAGTGTACTGTCCGCACATTAAAGTTCAAGATCCAAATAATTTTTGATGATTGAGCATCGATGATATTAAATGCATTTTTTTTTGGACAAGTTGCGGAGATATAACTTGCCAAAATAAACCCTTTCGCCTACCTTCATTTAGTGTCGTCGATATTTAATTGACGAAAAAATTCAGATTTTGAACTTCGCGCGTCTCAAATGCTCGGGCAGTATTCTGATCATCTGAGGTTGTGACGTCCAAGAAAAGACTGTTAGCTATTGCTTTGCGTCGCAAATTCATACTTGAATAACTGTTCTAAGTGTTGACACTAGCTGTTGACATTGTTAACAAGTCATTCAACTAGTGCCTGTGGGGGACAGCTATTTTGAAATTAGCAAGGTGATGTTGTTTTTAATATTTCAATACAATTTTTCATTTATTAGTTGGAAATCGAATCGTTTTTTTATAACTAAATGTAATAAACATGCCAACGAACGTGAATGAAATTACGTATAGATTCTGGTGTTTTCGATTGAATGAGAACGTTATATTATACTGTGAAACAAACGAAGCTAAACTCGAGACAATTATGTTAAAATTTAATCATTGTAAAAGCAGTATGTGTAGAATAGGAAACTTTGTATATATTGAAGTTAAGTTTATACTGTTTACCTTGACATATTTTCATCGAGAAGTACATGGTATATAAACATAGAAAACTTTACGAGTAAACTTTTGTTTGTATGCCGACAGCAATTATTACTATCGTATAATCGTGGCTAATAGATCTAAGAGTAAACATTTGGAAATGGTTTTATTTGAATATTTTAGCAATTCCTTATATACGACTGAAATATTTAAAAAAAAATTATTTCATCGACTATAAATAAATCATCTTTTCAAAAAATGCTATTTTATTTTATAAATTTATGATATTGTTTGAGACGGTACTACAATTTTTGAAAAGGAAATAACGTATTCTTTAATAAAATGTAGAAAGATCATTGTGATGTATTCCTCATTACAGATAACATTGCAGCCACATCGATTGGATCAGATACCTGAATAAAGATAGGTTAAGATTTCTACCAACAAGAAGAAGTTGCTCGATACTTTGCCTACCACAAGTAATCTATTATAGGTAAATATATGCTCTATACGATTGATTGATATATTTTCGGGATTGAGCCTTTTGTATAGCGTGAAAAATTTCGAGAGTGAAAAATTAAGAATTCGCTGTCTTGTCGATAAATATATGCAAATAGCGGCTTTTAGTAATCCGACGATTAATAAATGCACCAACGACTGTAATTTCGCCACAACAAGTAAAGAAATAGTTATTATATTCCAGATAAAAACATGGATATTGATCTTCGAAATAATCTGCTGGGTTGTTATGTTCAATGTGAATTACCGACCTCAAAATTGAATGAGAGATTTCGATATTCCAAGCCTACCGCTGCATGGTCTCCTATGGATCTAGAATTAGCATCTATCGAATTAGTCCAACAGAATGAAAAGAGTACATGGAGCTTACGCGTGACTAGGCCAATGGAATATCCGAAGCTTCCGAGAACAGTCAATTACGTAGACTATTTGTCTTTTGTTATTTCGAAACAGACAAAAAATGAACATTTTATATTTTATCATGCAATGTTGAGCGACAACGATAAAAAATCGGTGCTAGCGTCAGCAACTGGATTCACAGACTCGAGCAGTACCATATTCAGTAATGTTCATTTTGATGTTTTGAAAACGTTTATATGTGACATTGGTTGTCTTTATATACATTTGTATTTAATAGATAATTTTGTGTCAGTCGATGATTTGATCCTATTGAAACCTCCAGCAAGCTCCGGAGAGCTAGATATTTTACAAGAAAATTATTGCTGTAGCTTTAGCAAGGATCTTTTTGATATGTTTAATAGCGAATTGTTAACAGATGCCGTTATCATTGCAAAAGATAAAGAATTTAAAATTCATAAAGCTATCGTTGGTGCTAGAAGTAGTCGTTTTGCTACTTTATTCAAAACTAATTCGTCAAACTGCATATATCTGAAAGACGACCGTGATCAGCCCATTAATCCTAGAGTTGCTAATAGTTTTATCAAGTACGCGTACACAGGCGCTGTTGATAATATTGAGCAGTACGTTATCGAATTATACGAATTAGGTCATATGTATGTTATGAGTGCGTTACAGTCAACATGTATATCGTATTTGAAGCGTGTTGTGAATGTAGATAATACCATAACTATATTATTGTTGGCAAAAAAATATGGTATCAAGAGGCTGTACAATCCTATTTCCACAGTTTTCAAAACGCGCGCTAAGGAAATATTTGATAGCAATAGCTTTAATGCGTTTATGTCGTTAATTTCATCTTAGTATCTTATTTTCAGATCATCATCAAGATGGATCAAATAAACGTTATTGATAGTCAAGATCAAATCAGACAGTTTGGAACTCGTTGCTCTTTGATTCTCGATCAATTATCATTGCGAAACTACCCATATGAAACTGCGTCTCACTTATTTTGCACGATAAGTAAGACGGGCATTGAATATAGATTCGTGGTAAAAGCTTACAAAGATGAATGTTATAAGCTACAGATCGATTTTCTTGGCGACTATGACGATGAAGACTTTACAAATTTAAAATTTTGTTACGCGATTTGCGATAAAGTAGGTAAAGTAGTTCATCGTTCTGATCGCACTGAATCATTCAATGTGTCTCGAAAATATTCCGGCTTTTTAATGTCATACGAAAATTTGAAAAACTGGACATTCGGTTATACTTCGCCGCTTATATTAGTTTTCTACATTATCAACCACGAGCCTCTGCTGGAAAAATCTGGCGTTTTAACTGGCGTTAAAACGGGCTTGCCTACGAGTCACTTACACTCCTCGACCGAATGTCCATTATCAAATGATCTATCAAATTTATACGAGAAAGGCGATCTCAGTGACTTCACCATTGTCGCGGAAGGTAAGACCTTTAACGTTCATAAATGCGTTCTTGCTGCGAGAAGCATAGTATTCAGAAAACACATTGAAGAAAATATTGATCACGAAAGTATGACGCTAAACCTTAAAAGCGATATTGTCGAGGAAATGCTGCGATTTATTTACACTAATACTGTACACAAATTAGAGGAGCTAGTATACGATTTGTACAATGTAGCAAAAGAGCATCATTTACAAGAACTCCGAAGTAAATGTATATCTTACATGGTGGAAGCCGTCACTGTAGATAACGCCATGAAGTTAATATATTTTGCAAAGAAACACGATGAAAAGATTTTACAAGCGAAAATCACTGATTATTTTATGAAAAATGTCGATGAAATTTTAGTAAGCAAAGGAACTGATGAATTTTTGAAACCGCTTCTTCAATGTAAATTGAGTTTGAATTCTTTTGAAAGTCTAGCTAAGGATTAAAATAATTGTATTTGCGTTCGATATTTAAGAGAATTACTAGTATACATACTAGTGAAACGTTAACTTTTGAAATGTATTTTGAAATGTATTTCATAAAATTATAAATCAATTAAAAATAATAAAGGTCTCGCTTTTGGTTGTAGTACAAACTTACAGCTATTACATAGCGTTAAGGCGTTAGAAAATCAGTTTATTTGAAAATATTTGCTTTACCGTACTAAGATTTTGAGCTAAGAAAACCAAATCAACGAGTAGTTATTTTGCAGAGAATAGAGCATCTGAAACATCTTGGCCGTGGCTGAAAGTTTGTGCCATTGTAACCTCCTTTTCATTGTACCCGCCTGAAGATAAATGACGTAGCAATCTAAGAGGTTACCCAATTCTTCTTCACATAAAATATCATTCTAGTTTTTCTCTTGGGCGTGCATAGAGAGAACAGAAAGATAGACGGTCACGACGAATCAACGCCGGAAGAAAGTACTAGAAAAGAGAAAAATTATGAAAGTCCGGCATCGAGGGTGGAAATATAACTACTGTCTTTTCTTATTTTTTTAAGCTTTTCGCAGAGCTATCAGTCATGTCAAAATGGAGTAATAGCTTTTGCTGCTTTTCTTCTTTTAATAAGAGACGCTATTGTGTGCTGCAAATGGCTGACTGTATTTTTGAACGTTAGACCAAAATAACGGTATTACAAGAGGACCCAAGCTTAATATTTTTTATGTGTGCTCGAAAAAATAATGATAAATTTTCATTTTTTTTTTTCAAATATCATCTCTTTGATCGGTCCCGTGTAAAACGCGATCATGCTGCGCTTAATCATCGGAACTATCGTACATACCGAGCTAAAGAGTGAATCGTAAATCGTGGAACAAGATAAAAGCACGCCTTCGCTTGTGTGTAGCGCCCCGCGTCAGCCGAGTACACAGAAACATCCGCGCGCGCAGAAAAAAAGAAAGATTCATCCGGCAGCCGGAGGGGCAAACGCCACCTGCGCGAAAAGTTTCGCGCCGCAAATAAAAAGAGCGAGAGAGAGGGAGAGAGAGAGAGACAGAGATAGATAGGGGGAGAAGAAGGAGAAAGTCGAAATACGGGAAACGAAGGGCGGACCTTACATTTTATAAGTGCCCGATGCTCCGACTGTCTCGATACTACCCGCGACATGAATTTTAACGCGAGTGCTAGAACTTTTTCCTTATAACCGCTCGATCTGCTTACTCCGAGAGCTTTTTGTATCCTCTCTCACTCGTCTCAGTTTCGCTTTTTCTCCCTCCCTCTCTCTCTCTCTCTCTCTCTCTCTCTCTCTCTCTCTCTCTCTCTCTCTCTCTCTCTCTCTCTACGCGCGCGGTGATGCATTATTTTTCTTTTGCTCACACGCGTGTGCTTCCCGCTCAACTTTCCCTCGAATTCTTTTCTTGCTATTGCAACATAAAGTTTGTTCGGTTTAAAGCAGGTTTTCGAACGTAACTTACAGGTCAAGTGAGAGCGAAAGCTAAAGACTGTTCTTTTTTTCCGAGTCTTCTCGTTGTTTGGCGAAATAATCTACGAATTAATGCAAATAACTTTCATTGTTCGGTAATTCTACTTGGTAATATAATTAAGTTTACAAAATTTATTACACGAATTTATAACGTCGCTGGAGATTAAGATTTATCAAACGCGCGACCTTCCGACGATAATAAATCTTCAATACCAGTGACTAAAATTTGTCTTGATTAGAGCCATTCGAGACATTCTACTGTCTACAAATCTTCCAAAACGTTCAGCATTGTATTCGTAAAATTGACAAGTAAATTTTCGTTTCTTACCAAATTAACTTATCGAGCATCTTAGAATTTCTTTGCTACTGACCTGAAACAAAACAAAAAAGATATGTTAAAATATAGTAATGAAAGATGTACAACGTAGTTGAATATAATTGAAATTACTGTCATACTAATCCTCAAAGTCTGCGACAAAAATACTCTCTTTCACGTAAAAGAAACTTCCGTCGACTTCACCTTTGTAGCGATATCCTTAGACGCCATGCAAATACAAACCGAGAGAGAGAGAGAGAGAGAGAGAGAGAGAGAGAGAGACGACAGGATGGTATAAAAATAGAGCTCCCCCGGAAAAAAGAAGAAAGCAGAGCAACAGGACAAACAAAAAAACCGCAGAAAAGACTGACGCGAGAGCAACACGACACATTTTATCCCGCGCACGCAGAAAGGGAATGAATAAAAAGGACGCGAAGCATCTTTAACGAGCGAGCATATAGAGGTCCCTCGAGAACGACTCGATGTACATGTCGAGCGCTTATAGTTTATCCCATGCTGACGGACGTCTAATGGTGTCTCCGCGAAAACGTCAGCTCATTATAACAAAAAAAAAAATAATAACAAAGCGAAAGCAATCATTTATTCTTCAATATTTTGTTGAACAAGCCGTACTTGGTCATCGATCAAAAAGAGAGACGCGCCCGCGCCTAATGCAAAAATCCCCGGCTCGTCGAAGCCATACACTCGCGAGAGCAACGTGTGTAACGCACAAAAGGGGTTCATAGGGGTCTTTCTTCGTTATAATACTTCCGTAGACAAAGACGTCTTAAAATTTGCGCATCGATATATCTTCTATGGGTTCCCTCCCTCCCTCTCTCTCGATGTGTATTCATTATTCATACGCTATGGGCCAAAACTCGCGTGACGCCGCGAGTATAGAGCTTAAGCTTCTTATCGAAAATCCTATAAGATGACTTTTTCTCCTCTCCCCGTGGCTCCGGGGAATTAATTATTTGCGAGATATGGGTTGGGTATTACGCGTACGTTTTTCGGTGAATGCGAAAAAATTGCGCGCCTAAAAATCGCGCGGCGCGCGGCTGCGGATTTTGTATATCGCAATCGGCGCGACTCGAAGGATTGCGCAAGGCCATTAGTCGCATGCCGGACCGTGTTTATTCGCGGCGATAAACATTGATCGCCGTCGTTGCGCGCGCGTAATAAAAGCAGAAGAACAAAAAGAAAAAGCGACACGCCTCGACGGAAGTGCTAAAGCCGCGCGCGATAGATCGGCAAAAGAGCCGAGCAGTAAAACGAAAGGAGCCCGCGAGGAAAGTGGCTCTCTCTCGCTTGGAAGAGGCGCACGCGTGTGCAATTTGCAGCGGCAGCTCGCGCGCAAAACGCAGGGTCTCGCGCGCAGAGAGAGAGAGAGAGAGACCAGAAGAGTCGTCCATTATTCCCCGTTGCAATTACCTTGGGAGCTCGCTCGCGGTCTCTCTCATGAGCGCGTGACACTCGGCGACGCGGTACTCATCCCGCCGCTTCCCCTTTCGGGAGACGACGACTACGACGACGACGACGACGACGACTAAAGTATACTTGAGAGATTTGCATTCGCCGGCGGGAGGAGGAGCTAAGGTCTCGCTCCGCGGCGCGCGCGTGCTGCCACTCTTGCGAACGCGGCTTTGCGCGCGCGGCGCAGCCACCGGCGTTTCGTGTATTTTCGCGCTCCGACGGGCGTTTTCGGAGATGCGAGTTGACCGTGGCGGCGCCCTCCCACCCCGGCCAAGAGGATTTTTCTCATACGCCACAGAGAGCCCCGACCTTTTCATTTTTCATGAGATCCTTATATGCCCCTGTTCCGCTGCTGCTGCTACTGCCTCGGATCGACGTGCATCTCTTTCGAGGCAAATAAGAACCACTTTCATGCCAGGCAGACTTTGTTCATTCAAATGCTTAAACTGTTGCTTTGGCTGACAACCGTTTACTTATGTATACGTTCTTTTCTCCCGTCACTGGGTATTTTGCGTTTATTTTACTTCTAGCGCGGTCATTGTTGCGCCAAGTATCAAACTCAAAGTAATGATTGTAATAAACGTCAAACCAATCGTAGATTTCTAAGCCATTTTAGCAAACTTATTATTCAATATTCGAATCGTAGGTATTCGAAAAGTAAGGTAAGTAAATAGTTGCCGACAAATTTAGAGACTTTTCTTACATTGCCAGCAGTCAGACATTCTATGAGATTTTGTCGGCTTTTAAGTCACATACATGAGCGTAAAGGTAATTTTTATTCGGCTGTAAATAAGGTTAAACGTCGGTATGCAACACACTCCCAGTCTCTATCTTGAACTATTTTTAAATTTAAACCGCCTGCGCGATGCTCATCCTTACTGTTTTAATGTCAGTCTTAGTATGGATTTCGTCAGCTTATTTTTAGTAGGAACGCAAATGTACAGCTTTACGTGTGCGGCTTGGCTCGATGATTTCAATAAGCAGCTATAATTGTCAGCACGTTCAATCCTACTCGAGAGTGGTATTTTGCTTATTGCTTTTCTCGGACTTTATACTCGACAATGAAGTAATCGGAAGTGCAGAGTCATTTTTACGTTAAAACAACAAGTCAAAAACTCCTGTACGAGCCGCCGTTCCCCATTTCAAAACTCATACGCACAAACCCAACAGGCGAAGTAACGAGATCAGCGTAATGAGTCGGAAAGAAAGAGAGAGAGGGCGGAGAAGAAGAAAGCTTTCTCAAGAAAGAGGGAACACAACATAGCAAAGCTCGAAGATGTCGGGGTTCGCCTAATCTCCGAGGCAGAAGCCAAAGGAAAATCGTAGGATCGGGTTCCGTTCCGTCGGTCGCCTACCGGCCAGCAATTACACGTCGACGACGTTTCATTCGACGGAGGTGCCACTCGAGAGCCACTCGGCGCACGGCGCCGCAGCCGCAAGTCAGGTATCCACCGCCACTATCCCCGTTTCATACCCATTAAGCCCAGTACGAGTTGCGCGCAAGCATTTGCCGCGAGGGTCGGGAGAAAAAAGGACAAGGAGAAAATCGATCTCCGGACATTTGCCCGAGACTGGGGCTCTATTTCGAATCCCGCAGCAGACGGCATTCGTCGAAAGGGAAATAATTGTTCCAGGGCGCAATCTCCCAGCAAAGCGTACGTTCTCCGCTGCGTTGTTGAGCGTGCAAGCCGGTTTCACGTGCATTCGTCGTGACGCGTGACATCGAATGTCGGGAGCAACGGCAAAGCGCGTCATCATCGATGCCAAATATCAATTGGGCAAACTTATCCAATTAGATGTGACACCGAGCCCTCGCATCGCTCTGTCACAACACGTCGTCGGAAAGCTCGCGAAAAAAGCGACTTTGCTCTCCGGAGCTCGAGCAGAAGCGCCGTAGAAGCGAGT